ATTTCAATTCTGCCTGATAAGTCTGAAGTATACTTACTATAATCAGATGGGCAACCCTGAGCGTAACTGTTTGAGGCTGAGTGTTTCACGGGGTTGGCACCACCTCCTGAAGCACCTATGGCTGCCCCCTTACCACCCACTCTTCCCCCCAGGAATTTATAAAAAGGTGGTCTTTGGGCAGACACAAGAGAAAAAGTCTCCCCCCAGGGGGGCCTGGGTGGCTCAGTTGGCTAGGTGTCTGCCTTCAGCTCAGGTCATGATCCCGGGGTCCTGGGATCAAGCCCCTTCAGGTTCTAGGCTCAGCTGGGTGTCTGCTTCTCTCTCTGCCCCTCCCCCTGTTCATGCTTGCACTTTATCTCTCTAATAAAAAAAAAAAAATATTTAAAAAAAGAAAAAAAAAGAAAAAGTCTCCCCCTTACACCATTAGGCCCTGAGTGAGAATGAGACAATGGTCTTCAGTGGCTGGAGAATCAACAGTGAGCTCCTCTAGGCACTCTCAGGGGTCTCTGGTCCTTTAAGTGTTTTCAAGGTATGATGAGAGGCTAGTTCCCTTTAAGGACTAGAACTTTTTTGTATTTTTCACCTACCTGCTATAATTGTATTTCAGCACTTCTACCCTCAAGCTTCAAAAATAAGTCAGTATCCTTTGTGAAAGGAGGCAAAAAAAAAAAAAGAAGCCCTTTCTGTCTGCTCAATAAACATACTTGTATTTGCTCTCCTAGTAACACAGGGAGGTTCCAGGAACCTGTGCACAACTGCTGACAGGCACCAGCCTACCCATGCAGGCAGTGAGGTGGCCAGGCCAGGATGGCACAGGGCTGGCACCGTCTCCCCTTGGCCCTCCTCCTTTCCTAGACCCCAGACTATCCCACCTGGCCCTATCAAGTCCTCTACAGTCACCACTTAACACTTTGCACCATTTATCACTTTGTTTTTATCACAGGCAAACAGAAGGAAAGGCATTTACTTTCTACTTCTCAATAGCTTGCTAATTTGTCTCACTGGGTCTTCAGATTGGATATCTGGTGTTGGCAGAACAAAATGGTGAGAAACTCTCTGTATGAGAATCTTTGATATCATGAGCCCTGCCTTCCTTCCAACCAGAAAAGGATATATTTTGACTTAAGAATGAAAAGAGAAAAAAGAGTTAAGAGAGAAGGTTTATCTGGAGATCAAGGAGGACACATGGTTCGAAAAGCAGCTACTCTGAGGCTCACCAGTCTGGTGAGTATCTCTTTAAAACAAGCAGCTAAAAATGCTTTCAACCTAGCAATACCATAAATGTCCTGCTGCTGTCTTGGCTTCCAGATTCTTCCCCGTACTTTCCATGAGCATTCCATTGGGAATTGTCTGGAATCCCAGATTAAAACAGCAATAACCCAATTCCCTTGTTAGAATATTTATTTTCTTTTAGGTTTGGAAACCCAGCTGGGATGCATCTTCAAGTATATGGCACAGCCTCAACCATCCTAGGGGCTACATGAGTTGTTTCTCAAACAGCTCGATGGGCAGCTGAATCCTGGAACAGGAGAGGGAGGAGGGCAGCTCAGCCTCATGTGGAAAGCCCCAGCTGAGGACAAACAGCAAGAGTCTGGGAGCCTCCATTTTCAGAGGATTCAGTCCAGATGTCAGGACCACAGGGCTGATGCAGATTACTCTGGATGTCTCCAAAGCCAGACTGCCAGAAAAAGGCATCAACCTGACCTGAATCCATACTCTAACACCTGATTATATTCTAAGGTCAGGAGTAATATCCTACAATCCTATATCTGATCATTATACATGTGGGGATCCATCCGTCCCATCTGAGGGACATAAGCAAACTATTCCACAATTCACTGACCAGTTATAAGATTCCAGCCATAAACCATTTCAGCCACTATAGCCACATCGGTGAATATTGGCTAAGCGTCAACCCTGAATTCATCCATCTTTCCAAAAAAGTATTTATTAAACACACTTACATAGTGGCATAATAGACTCAGTAGTCAGAACTGAGTTTGAATCCTGACTCTACCTCTTACTAATTGTGTGACCTTGGCAGGTTACTTAAATTCTCTAAGCCCTAAATTCCTTATGTGTGACATGAATATTAAAAGAATATCTATATCTACCTTACCAGTACTGCTGGGAAAATTAAATAAAATAATTTACATAAAGGACGTCAAATAGTCCCTGGTCCAGGGCAATCCCACAACAAATATCAGCTATTAGAGTTGTGTGCTAGGTGCATGGCAGGGCCTGCAGAGCAGTGGTAGGCAGCCCAGCTGAGGCCCATGAGGAAACCGTTGACTCCAGCAACAGTGTTGGTATAGAAGAGACAGTTCCAAGTAGAGAAAATGACTCCGTAAGTGAAATCATGATATTTTAAACCTAAGAGGGCCAGGTGCCTGGGTGGCTCAGTTGATTAAGCATCTGCCTTTGGCTTAGGTCATGATCCTAGGGTCCTGAGATCGAGCCCCACATTGGGCTTCCTGCTCAGTAGGGAGTCTACTTCTCCCTCTGCCCTTCCCTCCTGCTCATGATCTTTCTCTCTCTCTCTCAAATAAATAAATAAATAAATAAATAAATAAATAAATAAATAAATAAATAAAATCTTAAAAAAATAAATAAAGTTAAGAGGGCGATTAAAATATTCTCTGGTTCTACCATAAATTTTCCTGGTAGAAAAACTGAGTATTATAATGACTGACTCATGGTCAACCAGCTAGTTCAACAGCAGAACTAATTAAGAATTAAGATCTTCAGGGCAGCCCAGGTGGCTCAGTGGTTTAGCACCCTTCCGCCCAGGGCATGATCCTGGAGTCCCAGGATCGAGTCCCAGGTTGGGCTCCCTCCATGGAGCCTGCTTCTCCCTCTGCCTGTGTCTCTGCCTCACTCTCTCTGTGTCTCTCATGAGTAAATAAAAATCTTAAAAAAAAACAACTTGCTTTTAAAAAAAGAATTAAGGTCTTCTAACTAGCTAGTTTGGTGTGTACCTTAGTTTGTTCTGCCATGGTAACTACTTACAGGGAGGCAGTCCTGTGATAAAAGAGCTTCCAAAAATAAAGGCAACCAGAGGCAAACCAAGAGTTAGGGCCTCCTCGGAGGGGTATCTCAAAATAAAGGGATGAAAAACTATAAGAGAAATCTTAGCTCACTTGGGGCAAGCATTCATACTTATTTTTTTTCCCTCTGTACTCGACTTTAAACTCTGTAAGGGCAAGGAGTCTGCTTTGTTCATTTGGTATCCCCAGTATCCAGAAGAGGGTCTGGCACAGCACAGATAATCAATAATATTTGTAGAACGAATGAATGAATGAGATTATTATTATTTTTTTTAATGAATGAGATTAGATAGTAGAAGTGTTTTGCCTACATGGCATGAACATGTTCAAATTGCAGGTGAATATTCCTGAAGGGAATATACCGGTCACAGGACAGCTTCTGGAGGCAAAGATGCTATTACCCGAGTTCAGTGTCTTTTCCAGTCCTGCTGCTCCACTGGTACCATGTCACTCCAGTTTTACCAAGGACAACAGTGCCCACAGTCATGACCCTGGCACAGGACCTCTACAGTCCCAATCTCAACTGTAAAAGTTCACTGTGGAGAAGATGGGAGAGTGGAGTGATGCCCTTTACCTCCTGGCCCAAGTGAAGCCAGAATGTGCTGACTCTAACTTGCAGCAACTTTGTAAATACTGAGGGACACAGCAAGCTGGAGGAGGGAAAGGAAGGGTTCTCATGGCCCTCAACTCCTCCCCATGATCTTAGCAACCATCCTCACTGGAGGAGAAAAGATAAGCCAGCAGATATTCCTCTAGGGCTCCCCAGCATCCAGCATCATAGTCACTTGATTCCCTGAATTATCATGGGGTGAGAGCGAAGAGAAGCCTGCATCCTCCGTCTCTTTTTGTTCTCCACTTTCAGCAAGCAACCTTCTGGCTTCTGAAGAGGGGTGGAGTAAGAGGAGGAGAATATCCTGGGGAGCATTACCACGCCAGAAAGAGATGGCAAGCACAAATGTGCCACCACTGAAGCATCAGGAATCCGCTAGGGAAGGGCCAAGGTGACCCTCCTCCCATGTCGTCTACAGCCTGGAATTTGCGCCCTTGGGACAATATTCAAGCCAGAAAACCTGGCATTTCTTGGACACTGTGATCAGGGTGGGAATCAGGTGACTCATTCTCCCCAGCTGGCCCATCATGCTGTATCATCTAGGCTGGGTGGCAGCACGGGAAAGACAGACAAAAAGGAAACGACAGGTGTCGGCTGCTTTGGAGACTGGCCCCAACAGCACAAGTGCGTTGGCCCTGATCTCTGCCAAGCTGCAGTAGAGGATTCAGGCAGGGAGCTGGGAGAGGCAAGGGGCAGAGCCGGTCTCAGGCAGAAAGGTGAAAGACCTCAAGCCGACCTGAGCAAAAAAAGAACAAAAAACAAAACAAACAACCAACCTGAGCCAGAGGCAACGCAGGCATGAGAGAACAGGAGAGGGGAGAGGAGAGGATGGGATGAAGGCCGGATCTAGGCAGTAAAACGAAGGAAAGAAAAGCAGCCAACATGGGGAAAAAAAAAAAAAAAGAGGAGAGGAGAGGAGAGGCTCTGTAAAGAAAGGAAGAACATACAGCCTAAAAGCAAAGCAGGGACAGAGTCTAACTCAGAAACTGGCCAAAATTTAGGGCCTCTGAAAATACTAAAAAGAGGAGTTAAGTGTGAAGTCAGGGAGACAAATGTTCCCAAAAAGTTCACTTTGCCTCTTAGGAGATTTCGCGGACTCTGCCGGGGAGCGCGCACTGCCAGAGGTCGGGGTAACCTGTCTTCGGGGGACAGGAGTCTCGAGCTTTTCAAAGCCCTTGGTGGGGGCGGCGGAGGGGGAGACTGCAAAGCAGCCTCGCGCTCTAGCCCCGAGGGACAACAGTTCCAGAGCTTGCCCTCCCCGCCCGCCGCCCCGCCCCCGCCCCGCCTGCCCCTGCCCCCCCAGCACCCCCCCACCCCCGCCCCGAGCACGCGCGGACACTCACGCAGGTGCGCGGGCAGGCGGATCGAGTCGTCCTCCATCCTGAGCGCTCGGGGCACTGGAACATGAAGTGGAGTCGAGGGAGCGTAACTCGGCACCGGGCTCTCGGGAGGCGTATATGAAATTCGTTCCTGCTGTTAAAAAGAAGGGCAGGAAGAGGGGAGGGGGAAGAAGACAATGAAAGCTTGGAACTGACTTGGGTGTCAAGTCAGGGAGGGGGCACCTGAGCCCTGGGGGAGCGGGCCTCACGGCGCAGGCCCCCGCGGCCCCTCTCCAGACCCTGCACGCCGTTAGCTGGCCTCCAGATCGCCAGCCTTTAGGATTTATAACGAGCCTCTGGAAAGGCTGAATGTGGGGCTCCTCCTTTGGACTCGGGTCAGTAGGTGTCCGTTTTCTCCTCTCTGCACTAGTTGGTTTGTTCAAGTAGAGGCGAGACAAGGTGGAGGAAATGAAACAGCGCGTCCAAGAGAATGGCTCTAGAAGACTCCTCTTTCAAAAATTACTTGTCCAGGTCACATAACTAATGTCACCCATACATTAAAACCACGTTTTCCTCTTCTCTGGCAATATCCCCAGCTTCTACTATAGATACGATTCTGTACTCAGGTCCCCTGAGAGGTAAGCTCAGGGTGATGGCTTCTAAGTTCTAGATTTAATTAATAAATCTACAAACAGGATTCTTCTGTGCTCTCCCTATCTCATTATAAACCAAAAATATCCAGTGTTTAATTTTTTTCCTCCGTAGCAGGGTATTCTCTGCAACATTAATGGCATCTCCTTGCCCTTTCTTTCTCCAACTCAGAATCGATACTTCCTTTCCTCCTGAAGTATTCCAGAGCTCACTCAAGAACCATCTGCATTTAAGGCAAGTACCGTTTAATTGAAGATACTTATTTAACTGACAAGAAAAGGGGGAAGGAGACTTCTGCAGATTCACTGTTTAAATTCAAACAGTGTTTGTTAGATCAATTAAAACAACTGGATGGGATGGGAAGGATTATTACTAGCTTTAAGTTAAAACGCAGCAAATAATGGCAAGGAACCAACTATTATCAGCTAGAAGAGCAGTGCAATTTGCATCTTGGATCAACTACTTTGACTTAAAGTCCATACATAAATAAACATAACTTCCATTAGTTTCTCTAGTTCAAACGTGCAAAGTAAAGTGGAACATTACAAGGTACAAAAATTAGTTGGGGGGAGAAAGATTAGTAAGACGCCATCATGAAAACAAAGATCAGAAGCAAAAGAAAAATCACAGATGAAAATAAAGCAAAGGGGTTATTTATGTTTTGGAAAGATGGTTCTCTAACATTTTATATTTCATCAAATGTGAAAAGGGAAACGGGGGAGTCCCCCCGGCTCTATAACCAAATTAAAGCTGCTCTTCTGCTCAGAGCCTGGAAAGTTTGGTGGTTGTGGTAGGAAGTTTCGATTTTAAATGAATATATACATATTTCTGTAATTTCCGAGTGGAATCGCTGTACCTTCCCTGAGGCATCCTCTACCAGCAAACAGGGCATTTGGAATATTTCTGTTTAAGCATACATCCTATACTTTCCTCGTGAACTTCTTAATTAAAGGCAGGCGCACACATCCTAGATTTCATTTCTGTATCGATCAAGATGTCTGGTGAAAGGTCACCCAGGGGCAAAAGCTTCAATTCACTTTTCTTGAACCTTAGCAAACATCACTCCTATTTTGAGCAACCCTAGCTTAAGGATGAGTTATATTTTTTGGTGTTTGGTTTGGGGTTTTGGGGGTGAATGAGGCAAAGACATCAACGCACCTATGGGAAACATACAAAATCTGTTTGGGGGTTTTTCAAAGTGAGATAGGCTTTCTAAGCATTTTAAACACAGTCTGTTTTTCTAATTTAACAGATTCTCCACACACTTCAACCCTCAAAAAAAAAAAAAAAACAAAACAAAACAAAAAAAACCAACATACCCAGTCCCAATATATGTCTAGATATCTTATCTGCCGTTAACTTTATTCCCAGAAATAGCTTTGTTTTGTTAGGGTTTTTGCAGAAGTGAAACTGTTGATGAAGAAAACATAGTGCAGCCAAAAGTTTTCAAATGGCATGGCACAAGTGCGAGAAAAAAAAAGAAGATGGCATTTCATAATATGATGACTGTCTCTTAAAGCAAGGAGAGACTCACCAGATCCTGCAACTGGTCTCTGTGACAGGCCACATCATGCCAGCTCCTTCGCCCCTCACTAAATCCATCAAGGACAAAAATGAAGGAGACCCAGCCCCCAAAACGGATTTTGCTTTGTTTCTTGGGAAATCTACCTCCAGCCTACTGATAAGGGTCAAGCTAGGTATCAGCTTTAAAATGCATATATTCTGACTTGCTAACTTGTCATTGCATGTACTTCTGTGTGGTTGCCTGTCCTTCCTGCTACACTGAAATGCCACACTTCAGTGCTTGCCCTGGGATTTTATACCAGCACCCCCATGTCCAAACAATTCTAGACAGACACATTCTAGATTCTTATTCCTGACAATGGTTTCTACTCAGCCATACTGCAACACCAAAAACTTGGGATGGGAAGCCCTTTTTAAAAGGTTCAAAGAAGAGATCTGTCAGTTATCAGAAGAGAGGATACCTTGACCAAGAAGGAGAAAAGCAAAAATGTGCTTCTAGGACTTTAAGCAATTTGCTAGCGGCCATTACACACCTACCCTGACCCTGGGTTCGGCAGCCAGCAGAGCATTATGGGGACCCCAGAAAGGACACTGCCCAGTACGTGGGCTCTGTTCCTAAACAGAACAAAATACACGCTTGGGAATCCCACACCACAGGCTTCTTTCCCTTTGTCTCTTGTTTTTGTTAATTTCTAGAGCGACTCACAAGGTTCACATTTTTTCATCTATTCCTACAATCAGGCACTTAGTATCTACAAGGCACAACCTGCAGACTACTAAAATTAAAAATAAGAATAAAATATTAGAAATGAGCAATTAGAAATAGGAAAAAAAAAACACCACTATCTCAGATGGAGACATCTAGACAGAGAGGCTTAAGGAGACCAAGATCCAATTTCTCAAATCACAGAAATCTCTTGGTCCTCACAACTGCTTCTGTGGTCTGACCCCAACAAAGGGAAGGGGAGTACCTGCTTACAGCACATTCACCTCAAAAGCAAATTGTCAGTCCGATGAAAACCAGAGGTGTTTTATTTTAACATTTTACAGAGAAGATAACAATTTTCCCAAGAGGATTATAACCACTGCTCTAATTAAATTAAAATGCTACAGACAGTGATATTAATGCATTCAAGTGTTGTAGGGGGATAAACCGCTGGTGGAGGTCAATGATGTGACTGAAAAGGCCGTGATGTGGTTACATTATTGTTTAGATGCTAAAAAAATTAAACGTGCTGCTCTCAAATTTGCAGACACAACCTATCAAACCAACCTGCAAAACAAAAGGGAGGCACTGCCATTTCTAAGACCAATTGTAATACCTAAGGGGGGGGGGGGGAGCAGCACACAAAGCTCTGAAAAGAAAAAATAGGCTAAAAATAGTTTTAGGCAAGGGATGAAATGTAAATTTCACTAACCATTATAGAAGGCTTTTTTCTTTCTTTCTTCTTTCTTTTTTTAATTTAAATGGAATATGGAGTAGAGTTGCTGCAAGCATTTAACTACCAGAACCAAAATGAAGTCTATTCCCTTGTCCTCCTTTCTCCCCCAAACCATGAAGGGCCAATGAAGGGTAGGCACTGGATTCTGCTCATTTTTAAATCAAGTAGTTAGGAACCTATGACTATCATGTAAAATAAACTTAAACTTATGATCCATAGGAGAATGGTATTTCCCTCCCCTCTCCTTCCCACCCCATGGCTGCATATTACAGACTAGAAGAGTAAAAAAAAAAAAAAAAAAAAAAAGACTAATCTTATTACCAAGAGTCTTCCCTTTTCAAAATTATTCAACATAGAGCTTCTATAAATCAATGGGATCCCCCTGATACACTGACACATTTGTTTTTGCACCATTAGTTCTTTAAAGAAGCTGAAGGGTTGAGATACTTAGAACCTGTTGCTAATTATTAATTTTCTGGAAATAAAGATAACACGTTTCTGGAACTGAGAAAAACAGACACAAAGTTTGGTTGTACTTGCAAAAAGATGGTTCATAGGTAATCTTAAAGATTCCTCAAAAGCTGAGATATCCCCAATTTAGCAACTTTTCCCCAAAATAGGCCCCACCCCTCTCCTGAATGCCCAATGATGGTTTCTGAAGCCCGTGTATAGTCCTGAGGGGGAAGTGTGCCACTCGAACAGAGTGGTGACCATTTCTCAGGAAATGAGAGTGGAAATTCTACAGGTGCCCTTTTCATCCTGCTGCAGTCTGGTGTCCCTTCATTGCAGTGAAACTAGCAACTTAACCAAGATGGAAAACAGCAGGCACCAGAGATACACTGGACACGCTGTGAATACTCAATCTTTTGAAGGAAGGGGCTCTTTTCCACACTGCAGGTTTTTAGGAAAGCTGCCTGAGAAAGCGGAGGCTTGTACTCTACAGTTTGTCTTCCACAGACTGAAAAGAAGAAATGTCTCCTGTAGGAAGTAATTTACCGAGATTCACTACACTGGAGGTCTAAATGCACAATTCAGGTACCCTCAGGTGTCTGCAAAATGATGCAAGGTGGTGGCTGGAGCTTTCATTAAATAAGCTTTCATTAACTAGAGCGATACATACGTCACCCAAAAAGTGAGCAAGACAGAAAGTGGAACTGCACAGTTTTAAAGATTCTTGGCACAGTGGATGCAAACAGACACGCACCAAGAACCTAAACTAACATTCTCTCTTTCACTGGCAAAACTACATTGAATATTTTCTTCACCCCCAAGGTAGCAAGATCAACTTAAAGAACTTGGGAAAAGATACAAAAACACCAGTCTACTTTTCTCAATCCACACTGTACACGGAGCCACAGGCCATGCATAGCAGTTTTGACATCTCCCCAGAAGGAAGGAAGACACCTTAGGATCTGGGATATACCTTGGGATCGGAGGTGTTCAAACATGAACTCTGAAGGAGAAAACTGGCTCCATCAAATCCCAGCAGTGACGTTGCGATGCTACCTTTCCATCCCCTAGAGGCTCGGGAAGACCC